ATACAGGACAGCTTCCACTCCAGCCAGATCCCCATGCTCAGCGACAGGCTCTCAGGCATCACAACAATCCAATGGCAAACTCAGCACTTCTCATTTGCAATGACACACAAAAGGCCATAGGATTAGGCATAATTTTTCAAGCTATACAACTATCCAAGAAAAATCTGATTTCCGACAACCCTTTCACAGACCATAGGCAGCCTGGATTATGTGACAAAGGGTTCAGTGTTTTGAGGAGAGACTCTGGCAATTACACTAACCTTAGCTTTCAAAAAGAGGGCGGTAATGATGACTGCATAGATGAAGAGGATCCCATCTAGTATGTAACAGAGTCTTGGGTCTGTCAGTCCTGGAACTGGTGAGGCATCTGTACGGAAATACATTAATAAAAACAAGGTCACTTAGGTTATAACATATTGGCTGGTTTGTAAGTGGCATTGCTGCCCCCTGCTCAACAGCACAACAACCACTTCAGTGCCTGTGATTATGTACTACCGTAGTACTGGCTGGAGGCCTACAAAAAGATAAAAAAAGCCCTAAGACAACTGACTGTAAAGGAAGACTCTTAAGAGACCAAAGATGACTGTTATGAAGCAGAAAGTCGAAGTTCTATTCCCTGTGGCATGCATATGGAGTTTAGCTTGTGACTAGGATATCTTCAGATGTTAGGGTTGCCAGATGGTTTCAATAAAAATACCGGACACACTTGACATTACATCACAATCTACTTTACATCTTATTTCGAAAATACCAGACATTTATATTTTCTCAATTTGTTTCCTGAACAGAAAGCTCAAATACTGGACTGTCTGGTTCAAAACCGGACACCTGGCAACACTCGCAGATCTATGGCCAAAGATCACCTACAGTGCAGCTATCTGAAGAAGGCTGACATAAACAACTATTTCCCATCAAGTCAGTCATTAGAATCCACTATTATCCTCTGCAGGGAGTCACAGAAAGTTAAGAACAGGAGTTTCTATCCTGTCCCCAGTAATATAATATGCTTAAGGTTACATTCTGACCCTATCTTGTGGTAGGCAGCAGAATGGCTTGTCTCCAGTGGCACCTATTAAAATCATGTCAACCCGTTCAGAGAGAACTAAAAAGAGGAGGTAGGCAGCAGAATGGCTTGTCTCCAGTTCAGAGAGAACTAAAAAGAGGAATCAGAGCTGAAAAATTCAACTATGGAGCCAAGAGTTCAGGTTTAGAAGTTGGAGCGGTCTTAAGTCGAGAGTTCAAGTCCAGAACCATCTGTAGAGGAAAGGTTCCAGTGTAATCTAAAATGCAGAGAAAGATGCATCTTTCCAAGAAACTGAGGAAAGTAACAGGTTATTTGAATGGCAGAATTAGAGGGAATTCAGAGAAGGGTGACAAAACTATGAAGCATATAGAAAATTAGTGAAGAGAGTGAAAAGTCCAGGATTGTTCATCTTAGGAAGTAGACAAGTAAGAAGGGACCAGATAATAGTATATGAAATGGTGTAGTGAAGCTAGATTAGAAAATTCTGTTCTCCTGGTCTCAGAACAATGAAATTAAGAAAGTGAGAAATTCAAAACCTGTTCAAGGAAATACTTTTTCACACAAACATGTAATTAAATTATAGAACTTGTTGCCACCGGAAGTTGCTGAGATCAAGCATTTAGAAAAATTCTGTCTTGGCATTCATACAGATATCAAATACAATCCAGAATTATCATCAATGATAAACAGGGTCTAGTTATTAGAGATCAGCCTGAGACTCACATCTACTATTTCAGAGTTCTTACACCTTTCTTTTTACAATTGGCTACTGGATAATGGAAGACAGGATACTGAACTAGATGGACCTTGAATCTGAGCCAGACTGGCAATTCCCATACACCACAAGTGACAGTTGTCAGTCACATTGATTAATTCATTACCAGAATAGACTCTGATGCTACAACTGATGAGGGCGATATAGGAATTTTTACAGCATAGAATGTTCTATAATCTGGATCTTTATTCAGATTTGTGTTCACATACAGGACACTCTCTCTAAAGAGTTCTAATTACAAAGTTCTTTGCAGATGTTTATTTCTGTTCTAGCTATCAATGGGAGGAAATCTGCTTTCTAAAGGATCCAAGTGTCCAGTAAGTTAATGGTGATGGATTAAGTTCTATATTCATACATAGAGGGTATGTACACTTTTAGTTATGTTGTAAACGCTTGATAATACTATTGTAAATTCTGTTGGAGAGACTATACATGTATTTATTCCAGGACACAAATATTTGTTGCTAGTTGTGTTTAAAGAGGAGGAGTATTATGTGGAGGCAGACGAAACTGTCAATACCTTACAATTATTTTTCTAAACTGAGTGTTGACATTCAATCCAAAACATTTCAGATGCTTAGAAACCATATACTTACAAGCTATGTCTACAATTCGAGCTGGGAGAGTAATAACCAGCTTGAGGAGACAGACCCATGCTAGGTTTGAAGGAGCTAGAATACTAACAAACCTGTGGCAGTGTCTGCTTCAGGGGGATGAGCCACCATGAATAAGTGGGTAACGTCTTAGAGAAGTACATATTCAGGGTGGCTACTCTCCCACTACTTGTACTGCCGCAGCTATGCTTTTGCTCTAAGCATAGAAGTTAGGAAAGGAAAGTGGCACATCACCCTAACACTTCTATACATATCTTTTAAAGAATACTCAACATATTTTACAAATCTCAATAAATCTTCAGCACAAAGTCATCTGTTATAGGATTATTCCCCACCTCCAAATGGATAAACAGAGGCAAGGAGAGGTTAAGTCACTTGTCCAAAGTCCCACAGTAAATCTATGGCAGAACTGGGAACAGAACCCAAGAGTCCTGATGCCCATTTTCTTTTTTTAAATCATTCACTTGTCTGCATTTTGTCGAGGCATGTGTCTTGTGTGTAGCAGCACAGGGCCCTTCACTTTGGGAGGCACCCTGTTTGACACCACCCCAGATCCAGGAAATCTCTGTTCACATAATGGACGCCTTCAAACCTACCACCAGTTTGAAAGATACAGGGGCCAGACTAGCTTCCCCAGTGTTTAAATTCTCTCTGCTTTTCTTTCTAGCTGATTAAACCCTTTTGATCCTTGACCATTCACAAATGACAAAGAACCAAACACCTTCTTGCTTCATTGTTAAAAAATAGGGCATATAAAAATAAGTTAAAAAAGGTCTATAAACTGAGACTTATGATCAAATACACACTGACTGAATCCTTGGCTGAAGATAAGCCATTTCTTTCATTGTACAGTAAAATCTCAGAGTTATGAACAGAGCAGTCAACCACACCCCCTCATTTGGACTCAGATGTAAACAATCAGATAGCAGCAGAGACAAAAAAAGCAAATACAGTACAGTATTTGTTAAATGTTTACTACTAAAAAAAATTAAGTAGCATTTCTTTCCTGGAGTTTCAAAGCTGTTTTAGGTCATCAATGCTCGATTGTAAACTTTTGAAAAAACTCACATTTTGTTCAGAGTAATGAACAGTCTCCATTCCTAAAGTGTCTGCAACTCAGATTCTACTGTACTCTTTATGCTTGTGAAAAGTAAAGTTCTGCTTGCAGGTCTCTCATATACCCAATTCAATCAATATTTTTTTAAAAGACACAAAACATGCCAGAACAAAAGTCAGAAGTAGGAAGGGATAATGAATATAGACCTAAGCATACACATGTGCGGTCACTTGATTTTCTACCTGCTGATGAATCACAACTTGGTTTTACTCCCATGGGGAAAAAAAAAAACCACTCAAACTGAAAGGGCCCAACCCTGCAAACCCTTATACTATGAACACCTGTTAGTCCTGCAAGTCATTTCAATGGCACTATGTTAGACTGAAAGTTCTTCAGCACAGAAGGCATCTTCTGTTCTGTGGCTGTACGGTGCCTAATACAATGAGGTCTCAACCCAATCCCACCTAACAACTTTAGGTGCTACCAAAATAAAAATGATAATGTTTGTGAGCAAGGGTTTACAGATTTGGGCCTCAAGACTCTGACAAGTAGGAGGCAACTGGGACGATGCAATTGACAAAGAGTGACCACAACCTAGTCTGACAAGGCCAATAGGAAAGCTGCTCACAGAGCGCCTGTTTCTATGCCCCTACCCCCACTCCTACACTCCCACAGCAGAGAACAAAACCCAGATGAGCCAATAGACATGGGGGGGGAGACAGGAAGGAAATGAACCTGCCGCAAAGCTGCTCAGATGACCACACAAGAGGTCTCCCCAGAATGTCAGACGAGAAGAACAGAACTACCTTATGGGAGAACCGTCTACTGTCGTGTATATTAACGTACTTTCTACCACATGTGATACGTGAACACGGAAATATATATTTAGATATTTTGAAGCAAAAAAAGGAATTAAACCCCGTGTGGGCCTCTTAAATGGCTTATTTCGTAACTCAGGCTCTGTGCTATCATTACCATCTTTTGACAAATGGGCTTTTTTGGCTTTGATAAATGAGTTACTGGTGTGTGAATTAACCACAGAAGCTGCAGTCTTACGCTTACCTATATTTTATAGGACTTAAAAGTATGGGGATATTTTTGCTTTAAGGCAAAAATGCCTTAGTGGCTCACTGTGGACAATAAGACAGTGAAAGTGTCTGTGTTCATTCCCGCTCTCATACATTAACAAGCTAAGATTTAAATACAATGACACACTGGACAGTAGTCTCTTTTGATTTCTTGCTCATACACACGTGCTGAAGTTTTAAAATCTATGAAAAAAATTAACAGAATAAGGACTTAATTTAATAACCTCCCTTACAAGGGCCTTGCCCTTAAAAAAAGTTACATAGGGCTCAGTTAATATTCATGATTATTTGCAGCGGTGCCCATTCTGCTGCCCAGTGCATGTTATATGTTGCCTCTAGTGCCCAATCCATAGAGCAAGCGTCTCAAGCTCACAGCCCTGGGGCCTGAGCAGCAAGTTCAGCCCCTTCTCTACCCTGCCTCTTCCCACCCCATTTTGCCCTCTTCCCCCTCCCCCTATCATATCCCTTCCTTCAGGCCCCTTCCCTGGAGGGATACAACCTTGGAGATTATGGGGGGGCTTGACATGGGGCAGCAGCAGGGGTGGGGCCCTCCACACTCACCACAGCCGCAGGCACTTTGAGGGAGCAGAACAACGCAGCAGCCTTTGCTCAGCCCAACCGCCATCTGCCAGGCCACTCCGGTTGCTCCACTTCACCATGGCGGTGGGAAGTGGAACACCCCAGTCCCAGCACAGGATGTCTTGGGAGATGGCAAAGGAGTGGAGCAGCCTGCTGTGTGGTGATGGGAGCTGTGAGGAAGCGAAGTGCAGAGGAGCCCAGCCCCTGCTGTTGGCCCCATCCCACCCAGG